TCCCGGCCCGTTTTTTCTGGAATTCTTTGGGAAATCGGGGGGTGGGGAAAATCCGACCCGACGGGGCTGGAAGAAAAAGGGCTGTTCCAGATGGAATTTGGGCAGAATTGGGCTGAATTTGGGCAGAATTTGGCTGATTTTGCTCATAATTTCGTCAAATTTGAGTAGGATTTGGCTGAATTTGGGCAGAATTTGGTGAATTTGCCCATAATTTGGTCAAATTTGGGCAGAATTTGGCTGATTTCGGGGAGAATTTGTTGAATTTGGGCAGAATTTGGCCAAATTCAGTCAGAATTTGCTGAATTTCCCCATAATTTGGCCAGATTTGAGCCGAATTTGCCCATAATTTGGCCAAATTCGGGCAGAATTTGCTGAATTTTCCCATAATTTGATCAAATTCGAGCAGGATTTTGCCGAATTCGGGCAGGAAACCCCAACATTCCCACATTTCCCAGCGCGGCCGTGGATCAAAGGGTTGGAAAAGGATCCAAGGGAACATTCCCGGAGTCGGGGGGTCCCTCGGAGTCCCCAAAAAAACCCACCAGCTCCTCCAGTTTTCCTCCACGGAGTCTCCCTCTCTCCCCTGGGAGCGCCGGGAATGGCTGGAATTCCTTCCCGATTCCTTCCCGAGCCGTGGGATGGGGTTGGATCCTTCCCTTCCTGTTCCTTCCCATCCCGGGTGGAGCTTTCTGGCGTCTCCCGGTTTCTCCTCCTCGATATTCCAGGTTTTTTTATTATCCCGGGAGCTGCTGCCCTCGGGGGGAGCTGTGGCTCCTTTCCCGAGGGAAACCAGCGATTCCCAAAAAAACCCCCCTAAATTTATAAATAAAATTACGTGGATAAATGGATTTCGTTTAAAATGAACTCGTTATATTTATTTTTTTAAAATATATATAAACTATATATATATAATATATATAAACTGAATTTATAAATAAAATTATATGAATAAATGGATTTAATTTAAAATGAACTCGTGTTTATTTTTAAAGTGTCTCACCTAAAAAATCCATTGCGCAGGCTGGAAAGGTAAAAAGACCTTTCCCCAAATCTTCGTTCGCGAAGATGGGCCATTATATAAACTATATATATATAAAATATATAATAGATATAAACTGAATTTATAAATAAAATTACACGGATAAATGGATCTAATTTAAAACGAGCCCGTATTTATTTTTAAAATATATATAAACTCTACATATATAATATATATAAATTAAATTTATAAATAAAATTATATGAATAAACGGATTTAATTTAAAATGAACTCGCTATATTTATTTCTAAAATATATATAAACTACATATATCTATAATATATAATAGATATAAACTAAATTTATGAATAAAATTACACGGATAAACGGATTTAATTTAAAAACGAACTCGTTACATTTATTTTTAAAAATACATGTTTCTTTTTCAAACGTACGTTTATTTTTGAAGGTAACCTCAATTTTTAAATTTACATTCGCTTTTCCCGGGAGCTTTTAGGCGGGGTCGGGGGATGCAAATTCCCGACTCCCGCCAGACGTTTTCCCACCGGGAAGGGCCTGGGAACACCCCAAAAAAGAGCCTCGGGCTTCGTCTGGGAATCGGGAACCCAAGGGGAGGGGAAAAGAGCCTGGAAAACCTGGAAAACCTGGAAAAACCAGCCTGGAAAAACCAGCCGGGACAATCCAGCCGGGCTGGGAAGATCCCGCTTTGCATTTTCCCGGGAAAAAAGGGACGTCCCGGAGGGAGATCTGGGTGGGGATGGGAGACGGGAGGGAGTCGGAAAACAGGGAATTCCGGCTCCCAGGGAAAGGGAGTTTTCCCTGGGGTGGGGTTTGGGCCCTTGGGGGGGGCGGGGGGGGAACCGGGGATGGGGAGGGGGCCCATCCCGGCTTTTTTGGGACCCCTGGGATGGGCAGGGGGCTCACCCCGGGTCTGTTATTCCCTGGGATGGGCAGGGGGCTCATCCCGGCTTTTTTGGAACCCCTGGGATGGGCAGGGGGCTCATCCCGTGCCTGTTATTCCCGGTGGGATGGGCAGGGGGCTCATCCCGGGTATTTTGGAACCCCTGGGATGGGGAAGGGGCTCATCCCGTGCCTGTTATTCCCGATGGGATGGGCAGGGGGCCCATCCCGGCTTTTTTGGGACCCCTGGGATGGGGAAGGGGCTCATCCCGTGCCTGTTATTCCCGGTGGGATGGAGAGGGGCTCATCCCAGGTCTGTTATTCCCGGTGGGACCCCTGGGATGGGCAGGGGGCTCATCTCGTGTCTGTTATTCCCTGGGATGGGCAGGGGGCTCATCCCGGCTTTTTTGGGACCCCTGGGATGGGGAGGGGGCTCATCCCGTGTCTGTTATTCCCGGTGGGATCCCTGGGATGGGGAGGGGGCTCATCCCGTGGCCGTTTTTCCGATCCCACCCCCTTCCCGCCCGTTCCCGGTTCCTCTTTTCGGTTCCCGAATCAAACCCGGGGCAGTTTCGGGGCCTCTTCCCCTTTTTTTTTTGAGGGAGTTTTCTCAGAAGAAAAAAAATCTCACGATTTCCAGGAAATCGAGGGCGGGGAAAAGCGAGAAAAGGGACGGAATTTGTGTCTCTTCCCGCCCCCCTCGGCACATGGAATTTGTCCCCATCCCAGAGATTTTCCCGGTTTATCCCCCCTCGGGGGCTCAGAAATCCAGAGGGACACACAGACCCCAGGAGGGGAGGGTTCGACCCGAAATGTTCTTTTATTGAGGACAAAGCGCCGTCCCAGAGAATTCCCTGGAGCCGGGAATTGCCTGGGACACGGGGGAGGAACAAGGAATTCCCTGGGACACGGGGAAGGACCCGAGAATTCCCTGGAGCCGAGAATTCCCTGGGACACGCGGGAGGACCCGAGAATTCCCTGGAGTCGGGAATTCCTTGGGACATGAGGGAGGACTCGGGAATTCCTTGAAGCTGAGAATTCCCTGGGACGGGAGGACGACCCGAGAATTCCCTGGAGCCGGGAATTCCCTGGGACATGAGGGAGGAGCAGGGAATTCCTTGGAGCCGAGAATTCACTGGGGCACGGGGGAGGACCCGAGAATTCCCTGGAGCCGGCAATTCCCTCGCATCCTACGGAGGACCTGAGAATTCCCTGGAGCCGGCAATTCCCTGGGACACGCGGGAGCACCCGAGAATTCCCTGAAGCCAGGAATTCCCTGGGACACGGGGGAGGACTCGGGAATTCCTTGAAGCTGAGAATTCCCTGGGACAAGGGGGACGACCCGACAATTCCCTGGAGCCGGGAATTCCCTCGCACACTCGGAAGGACCCAAGAATCCCCCCCGGCACCCCTCGCACCCCCCCTCACCGACAGATCCTGAGCGGGACCCCAAAGCCCACCCAGTCCAGGGGCGACCCCTCCCTGAGCCGCGCCCCCAACCCCAGGCGGAACCAGGGCAGGACCCTCTCCCCCCGAAAGGCGGCCCGGGAATGCTCCAGGATGGGTTCCAGGATGGGCCCCCCATCCTCGGCCCCGTAGAAGCCCACCCGGCCCCCCTCGTAGTCCAGGGCCACCCGCAGGCGCCGGGGGAGGGGGCTCCGCTCGGCGCGGGGGTCCGTGAGCGAGTGGAAAGCCCCCAGAGCCCAAAATCCGTCTCGGGGGGCGAGGCTCAGGGGTCCCTTCCTGGGGGCCGATTCCCGGACCACCCCCAGCGCCCAGACCCCCCCTTCCCGCCCCACCTCGACGTCCCAAAAGTGGCGGCCCCCGGTGAAGCCCCCCCGGGCCAGCACGCAGGGCTCGAAGTCGAACCTCTGGGGCCCGTCGGGGGCGTCCCCGCGGGGCGAGAGGTGGCCCCGGGCTTGTTTGCCGTCCTCGGACACGCGCAGGTTGGGGTGGGCGGTGGAGGGGTCCAGGGTCACCTCGGCTGCGGGGTTGGGATGAGGGAGGAAAAGGTTGGAAGGGGTCCCGTGGCCCCCTCCCCATTCCCGGGGGTCCCCTCGTCCCGGGTGGGAGGAGGAGGAGGAGAAGGGGGAGAGGAGGAATTCTCCGGGATGTGGGAGGAGGAGAAGGGGGAGAGGACGAATTCCCCGGGATGTGGGAGAGGAGCAGGGAATTCGCTCAGACACGGGGGAGGAGCCGGGAATTCCCTGGAGCCGGGAATTCCCTGGGATCGGGGAGAGGAGCAGGAATTCGCTCGGACGCGGCTGCGGGATTGGGGAAGGGGGGGAAAAGGTTGGAAGGGGTCCCGTGGCCCCCTCCCAGTTCCAGGGGGTCCCCTCGTCCAGGGTGGGAGGAGGAGGAGGAGAAGGGGGAGAGGAGGAATTCCCGGGGATGTGGGAGAGGAGCTGGGAACTCGCTGGAGCCGAGAATTCCCCGGGATGTGGGAGAGGAGCAGGGAATTCGCTCAGACACGGGGGAGGAGCCGGGAATTCCCTGGAGCCCGGAATTCCCTGGGATGGGGGAAAGGAGCAGGGAATTCGCTGGGACGCGGGGGAGGAGCCGAGAATAGGGGGAGGAGCCGAGAATTCCCTGGGACGAGAATTCCCTGGGATGTGGAAGAGGAGCAGGGAATTCGCTCAGACACGGGGGAGGAGCCGGGAATTCCCTGGAGCTGGGAATTCCCTGGAGCTGGGAATTCCTTGGAGCCGGGAATTCCCTGGGATGGGGGAGAGGAGCAGGAATTCCCTCCTGGACTGGAGAGGAGCGAGGAATTCCCTGGGACACGGGGGAGGAGCCGAGAATTCCCTGGAGCTGGGAATTCCCTGGGACACGCGGGAATCCCCCCCGGGACCCCTCGCTCACCTGGTTCCTGCAGCTGGAACATGAGGCTGTCTGGGGAACAAGGAGAGATTCCATGGATCAGGGGCAGGTTTATCCCACCTTTATCCCACCTTTATCCCACTGGAGAGGTTTGGAGGGGCCGAGGGCCCGATTGGGACATGGATTTCTCCCGAATATCCCACACAAGGAACCCCTTTCTCCCAAATCTCACACAAAATGACCTAATTTCTCCCAAATATCCCACTCAAGGAATCTCATTTCTCTCAGATCTCACACACAGGGACCCCATTTCTCCCAAATATTCCACTCAAGGACCCCTTTCCACCCGGATATCCCAACTCAAGTTCCCCTTTCTTCCCAAATCTCCCACTCAAGGAACCCCTTTCTCCCACATCTCACACAAAACGACCCCATTTCTCCCAAATCTCATATAAAATGACCCCATTTCTCCAAGATATCCCACTCAAGGAACCCCGTTTCTCCCAGATCCCCCCTCCCAGTCCCCATTTCTCCCAGATTTCCCCCTCCCAGTCCCCGTTTCTCCCAGATTTCACACAAAATGACCCCATTTCTCCCAGATTTCCCCCTCCCAGCCCCGTTTTTCCCAAATCTCACACAAAATGACCCCATTTCTTCCCAGATTCCCCCTCCCAGCCCCCATTTCTCCCAGATTTCCCCCTCCCAGCCCCCATTTCTCCCAGATTTCACACAAAATGACCCCGTTTCTTCCCAGATTCCCCCTCCCAGCCCCCTTTTCCCCCAGATTTCCCCCTGTTTTTCCCAGATTTCCCCCTCCCAGCCCCCATTTCTCCCAGATTCCCAGCCCCCC